GGCCTGGCGCCTGTGGCCGGGACAGGCCCGGCTGCCGCCCCAGCCGCGCTGTGCCCGGGGCCGGGGCAGCCAGGCCAGAGCGCTGGGAGTGTGAGCTTCGGGCTGGCACCGGGAGAGCAGCCTAGCTTAAGAAACCTGTTCTTGGGCTGCAGTCAGATTCCTTGCCCTTGTCTGTGGCTCTGAAGTCATGCCCTGCTGTCAGGTCATAGATGTGTAAGAGCAGTAGCCCGAAGGTTTTTGCAGAGCCGTTAAGTTTTTTGATGTCTCTAAATCTAGATGGTCACCAGGACAGAGGGTCAAATTGATGACTCTCTAATTGGTGGCAATGCCTCTGCTGAAGGTCCTGAGGGAGATGGAACAGAAGCCACGGTCATAACTGGTGTTGATATAGTAATAAACCACCATCTTCAGGAAACCAGCTTTACAAAAGAGTCCTACAAGAAGTACATCAAGGACTACATGAAAGCGTAAGTGTTGGTGGCCCTTTTCTTCAAATAACATGGCAAAAATGTTAGGTCGTTGAAATTTTAAAAACTGTTGAACTTCATTTCTGGTAGGTGTTAGGTCTGATGCAGGTGCCAGAGTGGCTGTGAACTTCAATAATGTCTTAATATTTGGCAAGACTGGAGCTTTAAAGGTTTATCAAAGTTTATCTTGGCTGAGGTAGAGGACCTGGTCACATGCTTTGGATGTTATTTGCAACCTTGTTTTCTTTCCCCTTCCTTTATGCCCAACTTTATTGGGGAAGGGGGTGGAGCAGTGAAGAAAGCTTTTGGAAATTTTCTAGCTTAGTTTAAATCTGCCTCAAACTAGCAGAAAGTCCCATTCACACTTATATTTGAATAATATCTGTTGCTCAGTGTTTAGTGAGTTGGCATTAAAGGTGAAAATACTTTGTGATACTGATGGGATAGTACTGTTAATGCTGTGGAAATGGCTTTCTAATGTTTGTGCACCACTGGCCTAGAAGTAAAATGGCAGGCACTGTTCTGCTAATTTACTAGAGAAATGAAGATTTGGGGGCTTTCAGAGGGAGAGGCAGAAGAGCAGGAAAATCAAACAGTTTGACTGTCAGTAACTCTTTCTGCTATAACATGCTACACAGTGAAGTTACTGGGCTAGAACATGTTCTCAGAGTTTCTTTTTCCCTTCCAGAATCAAAGCCAGACTTGAGGAGCACAAGCCAGAGAGAGTAAAGCCTTTCATGACGGGGGCTGCAGAACAAATCAAACACATTCTCGCTAACTTCAAAAACTACCAGGTAACAGCAGATTTGCAGTGATACAGGATGCAGTTGGTTCATCTGCTGGAC